AAGAGATTGCAAATGGATTGCACAGCACTCTTTCACAAGTTTTGAGGGTTAATTATCTTGGGGGCAATCCACAGAAATACAAGGTGCTTATTTAATACACCAGGGTGAAAGGGAATGGCACAATTCCTTGTGTGTGGGCAAGGGGATGGCTAAACAGCTGCAACCTCGGGTGGATTCGGCACATTCGCTCAAGCCCGAAAAACACAGAATTGCGTCAGTGATGAATTTCCTTTTAATCAATAGGGGTGATAGGGGAAAACAACAAATCATCTTCTCCGCAAATTGTTGAACAATCAAAGGTTTATGAGTTTATTCACCAAGAAACAAGGCTCACATTTTCTTGAACATAACTTGATTGTTTGGTTGGCAACTCGTCGTCTTGCGCAAATGCGGGTGGGGAGAGGGCATCCAAAGGGCCAAAACCGTAGCTCGTTTCGGCTCCAGCACGCTGAAGGTGGGGCAGCCCTTGATGAGGCACAGCCGCTCCGCGGTATGCTGCAGGTACTTCTGCACCTGGTTGTTCTTCTCGCCCATTTGTTTAGGGGGAATTCTGTCACTGGAACAACATATGGGTGTGTCTTGTTTTAGGGGACCTTCCAAAACCTGTGGTGTGTCCCCTTTTAAAAACATGAACAAAAGAGGGGTCGTATGGGTAGGCGTCTAAGAGGGGCGGTGTCTGATTAAACAGGTTTCTGATTATACAGGTTTCTGGTTTAACGGTGTGCTCAAACAAGCAGCACACACGCCCAAAAACAAAAAAATGATCTGACAATTGGGGCGCTTGGATGGGGGGAGCCGCCCAGGGGGCATGTCTATGGGCTGGAATATAGTGAAGCATTGAGCATGGGAGGCCTTCCCGCAACACTATTGCCTTCCCAAACCTCCAAGCAACCTACAAACATCGTCCATGGTCTGGGTCTGCTTTTGTTCATTGATTCTCAAGAACACCTTCCCCACAACTTTGAAAGAACGGGTTACCACTCCCTGCCCCATGATTCCACCACTATCAAAGTCACCCCCAAGTGGTGGGTAGGGAAACCAGCCACCAGTTTCTGCACGAAAGAGACCCAGCCATATCCAAAAAAGCAGGCGTAACAACCTGAACAAATGCCAATCCAGCCAGGTTCTTCCGTTGCACCCCCAGAAACGGCCCCAGAAACGGCCCCCAGCGGTGCCCGGGCAAATCCCCCGTCCCGTCGCCTTCCGGCGCTGCGCGGAGGTGGCCGCCTGCACCTCCGGCACCGGCACCGCTGGGGCCTGGCGTGGAGGAAGCCGCTTCCGCCGGCGGTCGTAGTGTGGGATGGGTGCAGAATCCATTTCGCAGCCGAGAAACCCCTGGAGTGATACGAGTCCCCCCAAAAATACCAAACGCTATGGTTTCGACCATGGCTTCAAAGCGGCGCGAAATGGATTTCGTCCATCTCCCGAGCCTGGGAACTGACACCCCCGTTTCTGGGCAGAAACGCCTGCTCGGGAAAAACACACACAACAACCAGGAAAACTGCATGGCGCTTTGGAAAATGCACTGGGTGCTATCCAAGGTCAGAAGGTTATAGTTTGACAGTTGGGTAACCGGGTAACCCTATCAAGAGATTGCAAGAAGCAAACCCTGAAATTTGAATTTCGGAGGCCCCGTACCAGCACCATCCATAAACAGAAACGCATACCAAAAGGAATTCATTACCCGCTAGATGCCAAGACAACGTTGCAAACGCAAGAAGGGAGTCAAGCGAACCAAATCCAGACATTTCAGGCTGCGCCCAGTGCCCAACCTAGACTACACCGCTCTTGTCAAGCCATGATCGGACTTAGACTCGGCCCCAACAGCACCTGGCACCCCTTCAAAACGGGGGGGAGTTGTCCGAGACCTCTGTTCCTTGTGTGTCCCAAGCCAACACCGAGAGCGCGGGGCACCCCATTCGCTTCGCGCTTCGCTTCGCCTGGGACAGGTTGGCCGCCAGGTTGGCCACGGCCATGGCGGCGTCCCCGTGGGAGCCGCAGACGGTGAGCCAACCGCGCCGGGAGTCGAAGCTCACCTTACGCCGGAGTCGGGAGACGTGAAGGCCGAAGGCCGGGCCCCCGTGTGCGGCTTAAAACGGCCGTTTGCGGTCAGGTGGCCAAGACCACTTCATCGCCGTTTAAAGGGACACTCTGGTGGCACAGACAGTGGCAACCGAAGACTGACTGTCCACAACCATGAACCACCAGACCGCCACGAGCCAGAAAAAATCCAAGCTGCAGAAAACGCTACAGGGAAAACAACCAGAAGCCCCGCAAACCGAACCCCAGCCATCTCCGCCGCTTGCTGGGTCCCCCGCGTAGGCGCGCTGCCGCACCCGGCGCTTGTAGCGCCTCAGCAGCAGGTTGGTGAGGCGGTACGAGAGCCCCAGGCAGCGGCGGTTCCGCTTGCCGTCGCGCCACAAGGCCCATTCGTAGAACTCGTAGCTCTCCTTGCCACAAACAACCTCTGGGTATGTTCTCGTGGAGGGTACCCCTGGTTTTGTCGTTTTTGTGTTTCTTCTTTTTTTTAGGGGAGCCAAACTAGAATCCACCTCGGTTAGTTGCGTAGTTCTTATTATTTTCTCCTTTGTTTACTTTTTTTTGGGGGGGGGAGGAGGTGTCCCTAAATGAAGACACGCGCGTATCAATTCGTCTGGACTGGTGGTGAGGCTCTTCTGTCAAACGACCCCGAGATGGTGGCTGTACACTTTGGGTTTCCTTTGAAACGACCCTACAAAGGTACCAAGCCAAAAACACACACTCACACAGCCAAAACTGGGTTGTTGTTGGAAACTTGTTCAAAACACCAAAATGATGGAGTAAATGGTGGTTGACCATGTGGGATTAAACGCAAATCATGTTGTTGTCATGATTCACCTCTTGTGTTGGCTCAAGATGAAGTCGTATTGCTTGGTTTGTTTCCACAACTCGAACAAAACAATGAAGAAACATCAATGATGTCAAGCGTGTTGGAATTTGCTCAATGGTTGTTCGGTCCAACTGTTTACATCAAAACTAGCGCACCAAAATAAGGCTCGTCTGTTTCCTTTTTTGCTAAGAAATAGAAGAGCGCAAGTTACATCTGAAATAAATCAAAACGATGAAGTATGCTGGTGTCAGCTTCTCTCCAATTTGTGGGAACCGGTGACTTGTTGGGGCGGCTTTCCGAAAAGCAGAACCAGAAAGGCACCACCGGGAGAGAACTACAGGATCCAAATGACACCACTGGAGAAGATGGTATACAAAGTATCTAAAAACAGGCGACACTAGCAAGGATTGCAGAACCCAGAAAGAGAAAGAATCGTTGAAACACAAAACCAAAAAGATGGGCATGGCAAGCATAGGCCATAGAAAAATATGCCAGGTGCAGGAAGCGGAGTGTCGATGAAGGTGTCCTGCCAGCACGCCAGACAGGCGCGCAAAAGGGAGAGCACCATCAGCAAATTCAGGCACAGCATCACTGCCACCAGAGAAACCGCTAAGATCTTCATGACGATGGGGATGGTGCTGGACACCGCAAGCACCTGGTCATTTTGGACCCGGCTTGAAACCATTGTATTATTTGGTGTGGACATGGATAATCTTTCAAGCCCAACGCCACACGAAGGACAAAGTGCCAAGACCCCCCCTGTTTGCGGCCTTTGACCAAAACAGCTCCCCAGCACTTTCGGGCCTTGCCCCTTACCACCTTCCCCTGTTTTCTGAGGCTCCCAGCTCCCCAAAGAACAACTGGGTGCAAAGAACAACTGGGTGACCAGTACGGCTTCGATCACAAGTGGGCTCCAACATACATGCTCCCAAGGGAAACCCAAGGGAAAACGCAGGGAAACCCGCTTTTGGGGGTCCACTGGAAAAAAAACACGGGGGAGCAATATCCCGCCTGCACCAGGATGCTCTGGCCCACGAAGAACAGCGCGAAGCGGTTGTCCGCCTTCACCAGCGCGAAGTCCGAGCGCGCCGTGAAGGGGCCGAACGCCCTCGAGGCTCGCGCGCTTTTCTCACGAGCGAACGCATGGACCTTTTGGGGGGGAGGGGTTGTGGCTGGTCAAGCCCCAAAGGAGTTTGGGCTGCCGAAAACGAGGAGTCTCAAAACAAGAAAGGCATCTGGCTGTTCAAAAAAAGGTACTAGCAATATAGGGCACTAGATAATACAAGGGAGTAGGCAGGTTTAGAGAAACCCTTTTTCAGGGGAAATCATGGCCCTCATATGTTTGCCCCCCTAGCCATCACCCCACCAAGGGGGAATAGAGGTGAGTTCTCAAAATGACGGAACCCCTTTTGGTTGGAAATACACTCAAGCCCACTTCTTAAGCCATAGCTTGAACCATCAGATGCAGGAAGCTTCGAGAAAACACATACCCAATGTTCACTCTAGAACCTTTGTTCACTGAAAAGGGACCCAAAAAACACACACACACACAAACACAAACACAAAAAACAAACACAAACACAAACACAAACACAAACACAAACACAAACACAAACACAAACACAAACACAAACACAAACAAAACACATACACATACACAAACACAAACACAAACACAAACACAAACAGAAACAGAAACAGAAACACAAACACAAACACAAACACCAACACAAACACACCAGGAAAAATTCACGCGGCCGTGGGAAACTACAGTTTTCTCCGTGTTTGGCCAGTTGACTTGCAAAAGGGAGCCCCGCCAAAAAGAGGGAAAACAAGGAAGCGACGCGTTTCCGCAGGTCTGGCGGGGAAAACCCGGGCGAAGGCTTGGTTCGAATCTCTCCTCGACACGAAGCCGTGCAGCACCGCCAGCAGAAACAGGAAGCTGCTGCGGCCGGAGGGGCCCAGCACCCGCAACGACACCAAAATCCCCGCCTGAGGTTCGGAGCTCCCCGGATCCATTGGAAAAAACAATGGGTTGCTTTTGCTCTGTTTGTGTTTCTGTTTTGTTCTGCCTTTTTTTCTGTGTGTGTGTGTGTGTGTGTTTTCTTGTTGCTTTTGCTCTTGGTGCTTTCGTTTGATTCTTTTGTCGTTGTGTTACCTAAAACGCGGGCGTGGTGTTGGGAAGGTATGACACTTGAGGGGTCGGACCCGCTGCTGCATATCATTGCGTGGTTCGATGTATGTCTGCCAGCCACTTTGCTTGGGCGTTCGCTTGGAATACATGAGTATTTCTTTGTGTGGCGCGTCATATGTCGTGTTGGAGGGAAAAACTGCTTGCCCATTTGGGGAGCATTTCTTTGATTTGGCTGGACCCTTTGAACATCTTTCAGACTTTATCCCCACGCCTGAAAAACTCAGATTTTCATGGGGGATCTCAAGAACACCCCTTTTGCCTTGCCCCCTCAACGCCCATCAAAGGGGTCCACACAAAGCGCGTCCTTCTGCGCCTACGGCGGGGGGTGGGGGGTGGGGGGGGAGGGTTCGGCTCGAAGTGGATGGCCTTCAGCAGGAAGACGTACATCTCCCAGTTCCTTGGCCAGGCGAATCCGACAGGTGGCAACTGCAACAAAGCTGGAGCCGCCACGGGCAAAACGCTTCGCGCCTGGCAATGCAAAGGTGTTCCTGTTTGGGGCCCCTGCTTTTTGAGGCTACCCTTGTTTACAGTAGGTTGGTTTAAAGAGAAACCGAAAGGAAAACAGCAACTTCGGCAGTCCCCTACTTTGACCCAGACCCAAATGGGGCTTCTGTGTCAAAAAGAGAAATTTGGATCCTTTGTGTTTCTCGTTAAAACAACCCCCAACACAAAAATCCGGGGGGCCTCGAATAAACAACGGGCCGCAAAAAGGAAATTCAGATTCGGCTTGTTGTTTTTCTTCAAAGCTCGTTTTAAAGGGAAACACCCCTATGTCAACAAACACACACACACACCAGCTGTAAGTCTGGACCTCACAAATTGTGGTGTTCCCTTTTTCTTTCAAGCCAACTTGAAAAGGGTACCGAGCCTCAAAAAACACCACCTATAAGTATCGATGACGCCTTGGCATCTGACATCCTGAACGGTTGGTGTCCTTCTGACTGCCTCTAAATACCACCCCAAGGGGAGGGGAAAAACGGGGACACCGGCCATGGCTCCAGCACCCCAAGCGATACCCGAAGCTCAGCACGCAGAAGGCTGGCGGGAACTCGAAGTCGTCCGGCAGCTCGTTCCGCACCTTCCGCGTCGGGATTCGCGTCAAGGGAAGCCTTTTTGGTGCTTTTTTGGGTCCCATGGCATGCGAGCTCCACGGACTCACGGAATCCGCTTTTCGCCTTCAGGAGATGGGTCACACGCCGTGGCTGAAGGAGATGGGATACTTGGGTGTTCAAGCAAAGAATCAGGTGATACCCGAAAAATCGAAGGGGCCAGGGCTTGGTTGTGAACGAACCACTTGTGTCAAGCCTGCCTTCCGCAGCTGGTTGCTCAGCAGCACCGGCACACCCAGAGCCCACAAGAGCGCCAAGCCTGGAGCCATTCCGATGGACTTGATCACTTTCAACAGGATTCGGGGGTTGTCTCTCGGGAACCCCCCCAAAAAAAAGAAGTGATGCCCTTGATTTGCTTTAAGAACTGCCCCAAAAAGGGGCTTACCAAAGAAAGAACGACCTTGGTCCCTTGGTATCATTCCCCATTTCAGGGAAAAGGCCTGTGTTCAGGAGGATAACAAGTCGCCTTTGGGGTTGCTTAAAACATAATGGGGTCACTGTGCCCAACTGCAGTGTACACAAACAACCAAGAAACCTGGTTGTGAATCATTGATCATGATATCGGTTTGGATGGTCAAAACCAGAAGCTTAAAAGCAAGATATCGTATGTTGTGTGCCTCCATGTTCTTCCCAAACTAACATAGACCACCTGGAATTCGTCATTGCTTATACGACTGGCTGTGTTCAACTTTGGCAGGGCAAGCCGGTTTGAGGGACTGCTTTATATAAAGGGAAACCAGAATCAAACATCTGGGGGGGGATCCCTTTTGGGCGGTTTCGGGAGAAACCACCGCAGGGCTCCTTGAAGGATACAACCCAAACACGTTTTTGTTTCCCCTCTATAACTGAAAGCTTTGGGGTCTCTGCCCAATGGAGCGGCTCCGGGTTTCTTAGAAAACCCGTGGCGTTTCAGCGGATCTTGGGGGCAAGCCTGAGGCCAGCTTGCCCATGAGACCCCAGCACGGCAGCTCGGGCGCCACCGTGACCCTCCGCAAAGTCTCCTAGCCAGCGTGCTACGGGTGAAGAATCCCCAGGGCCGTAAGAGGCATGGGAAATCCCTAGGCAAAAACACCACATCCTAAAAACACAAAAACCAATGCCTCAGAAATGCATGGGGTTCCTTCGGTTTCTCTGGAAACTGAAAAAACTAGCAAGAAATCTGGAGTGAAGCCCAAAAAAGGCGTGAGGCAAGCAGGAACTTGAGACAAGAGTGACTCAAACATTCGGGTGTGTCGAGGGGGACCACTTGGATGTTTGTGCCTAACAAGTTAAACCCACATTCACGGGTTGTAAGTCGGTGATAAACTAACTTACCATTACTAGCTTTGCCGAACACCAAAGCATGGACCGGGGAGGGGAACCGGGGGGGGGGTTCGTTTGGTTCCTGTTTGGTCCCCCCGTTGTCGCTCTCACCCTGTGATAGGTTGGTTCCCATGCTTATGACTGCTTGATCACTGCATTCCCTCTCAGAAAATGGCCCCCAAACCCAGTGGCGAAATGTTCCTCAGCTTGGCAACAGAAGGGGCCCCTTGCTGAAACATGTTGCCCCCATGCCCCGTCCGCTTGGACGGCCTCCTTTCAATCCCAGCCTTTCCTGTTTTCTTCCCATCAGGTGGGTCCCCTCGCCTGGGGCAGCAGAGGCAAGCAGGCGCAGAGCTCCAGCAGCCCATCCAGCACGTAGCCGTACAAGACCAGCAGCAGCGCCAGCAGCAAAGGGCGGCCCTGGGACCCGAAAGCCTTCAAGAAGTCCCGGACGCCCTCCTCCTGACGAGCCCAGCTGGGTCTCCGCGGCCCCGAAATCCCCGGAACCCTCCCTGAAAGTTGCTTCAAATCCAGCCCGGACTTGTTTTGCACAGACCCCCCAGTTTTCAGCTGGGGAATCTGCGGAGGGTGGCGAAACTGTTGAAACCAACGGAAGTGAGGCTGGGGAAATCACCCTGGACTTGGGAGGGCTCCTAGCGTGCATTTTGAAGTTCAATGCAGAAAAGATGTGTGTGCCTTACCAGAAACGATGTTGAGACCGAAAGACCATGCTCTTGCTCGAGGTCCCACAAAGAAATGGATGGGGTTTCGCTTTAGGTCCCACAAGAACCTGCCTTCGTTCCAACTCCCCCCCCCCACCCCCAAAATTACCAAAAAAATCGGTCGGAAACACCCAAAACGGGCTTGAAGCTCAGAGTTCCTAACGTTGAACCCCGCCTTTTGTCTCTGTTTCACCCGCCACCCCGCTGAAAAGAAACCGCCCCACCTCCGGATCCCCCCCCCTTTTGAGCCCCCTGTCATCAGTCTTCCGTGACTCTGGGCGGCTCCCCACTTCCCTTGGCCGCTTGACGAAAATCCGAACACCGAACACCGCCTCGGCGCGGCGCCTGGGCCAGGTCGGAGTTCCAGAGCCAGGCCAGGCGCTGGAAGTAGGCCTTGCTGAAGGCCAACCAGTCCTCCGCGTCGTACTGCGCCAGCACCTCGCAAACCGACACAGGACGTGACAGGACGTGACACCCCGGGATGAGTAGAAGGGGAAACCAAAAGACAAATGCACTGGCCTCAAAAGTGTGTGCTTATTTTTTTTTATGTTATTTACTTGTGTTTATGTTGTATCTTTCTGTAATTTGTATATTTCTTTCTTTCTTTTTTTCGTTCTTTCTTTCTTTCTTTTTATCTTTCTTTCTTTCTTTCTTTTTATCTTTCTTTCTTTCTTTCGTTCTTTCTTTCTTTCTTGTTATCTTTCTTTCTTTCTTTATTTCTTTCTTTCGTTCTTTCTTTCTTTCTTTTTTTCTTTCTTTCTTTCCTTCTTCCTTCTTTCTTTCTTTCTGTCTTTCCTTCTTCCTTCTTTCTTTCTTTCTTTCTTTCCTTCTTTCTTTCTCTCTCTCTCTCTTTCTCTCTCTCTCTCTCTCTCGTTCCTTCCTTCTTTCCTTCTTTCTTTCTTCCTTCTTTCGATCTGTCTTTCTTTGCGTTGAGTGGTTCTCGAAAGTCCGAATGTTAGTTTCCTACAAGGGACGGATTCCTTCTGGTGTTCCTTTATTCTTGAGAAACACTCTAGTGGGGGTGGTGGAAACCATCCCAAGGTCAAAAATCATGGTCATGGCTCGCTGAAAGAAATTATTATCATAGTTGGCTAAAATCCTCATAAAGGGATCATAACCAATCATGATTGAACAAATTCCGGATGATTGGGTTCGTGACCAGCCCTACAACCAAGCAAAGAGTGTTTTGATTGCAACAGGTTCACATGCGTACATGGACGTATACAATCTGCCTTTGCAAATTGCAGTTTCTAAACCAACCCCAACCCCACCCCCCCCCCCCAACGCCCGGCGAAGGGAATTCTGGAAATTGTGTTTTTGGTCTTTTTGGTTTCCCTTGGTTAAAAGCCGAAGACAGGCACCTCGAGGTGTCGCGCCAAACCATCATCTCTTCTGCGGGGGGCTTTGCCCTGTGCCAAGAAGAGCCACAAAAGATATACACACACACACAATTTGTGTAGACACACACACAACAAATAGAGCAACAAATTGTCCGTCTGTCCGCAAACCCATGCAAATCTATATAATATAGAGAGAGATACACACACACACACAGGCCGCACATGCACACTGGAAGGGGCCATGGGCTGTCGATGTACGTGTCCCGCCTGCTTGGTCCCCTCTTGCACCAGCTCCTTCGGAGCTAAAAAGGCAAAGCAAAGGGAAAAACAAAGGCAACAAGCAGGGAAAAGCTACAAGGGCACAAATCAAATATACAAAAAGACACGGACCAAGAACCAAAAGGACAAACTCAAGGAAGCCCCGAGGGCAACAACCAAAAGGAAAAATCGGGTGTGAAGAAGCTAAAAGGGCTGCCCAAAAGGGGCAAACACCATACCAAAACCCAACCCCAAGGGCAAAGAGTGTGTCTGAGGAAAAACTCCGAAAGGAACCCCGAAAAGGCCACCACCAACGGAGCCCCAAAGAACAAAGCTAGAAGCCCCCCACCAACAAAAAAAAGCCCAAACAACAACCCCAAAACAAAATCGCAAATGCAACATGTGTCTTTTTTTCAGGGTCCAAAGGGCTGCTTTAAAAACAGGGAAAAACGGAAAAAACACGCCAAAAGAAAAAGAAAAAGAGGGGAAAAACACCGCAAAAAACAAGAAGCCCCTGTGGCCCGCTCCTCGTAGAACTCCGCGGCGCGGGCGTAGAAGGCCTTGGCCCGGCGCAGGACGAAGGCCACGCGGCCCAGGCACAGCGCAAAGGCGAGGAAGGCCAAGGCCAGAGGCGCGCAGAGCCAGAAGAGCAGAGCGCAGAGCTCCACCGAGGACTGGTAGTCCTCCCACTTTTTTGGGTTTTGAAGCGCAAGCTCTCCCTTTTTTAGCAAACCTTTCCGGTCTTTTTGTTGGTTTTTGAAGCTCTCCTCTTTGTTTGGCTCTTTTTGAATTCCGGCTGCTTCTTTTTTGAACGAAAACACAGAGGTCGTCCTGGCTTTTTTGGTGTTTGCTCCCTGTTCTTAAAGGCTCCGGTTCTTTGTTTTAGCACCGAAAAATGTCGGGAGTTTGTCCTTTTAAGGGTGTCCGTCCTCTTTGCTGAACCCCCAACAGTTCTTTTGTGGTGTCAGTCCCTTTCTGTTGAACCAAAGGGTTCCTTGTTTTGTTGGTTTTTGCCAAAGGGCAGCTTCATCCAAACTGAAAACCGTGCGACAAAGGAATCAACGAAAAGAGGTGATCCTTTAGCCAAAAGGGTAGGAGGGAGAAAGGATGGCTAATTTGGGTGATGCCTTTCTTGTTTAAGAACCAAAAGGTCCCTTCTTTGATCAAAGGGGCAACCCCTTGAAGCGAGGCAAGCACGTCCCGAGGTTTCTGGCTGTCCGGTTGGTTTCCCTTCAACTGAACCCCAGAAACACCCAAAGCTCCCCATCTTTCAACTGAAGTCCTTCAGCTGCTCGCGCAAGTCTAGCGACTCCGGCTGGAACCAAGTGGAGTGCCGCAAACCTTTTAGCGCCTCCGCCAAACTCTCCCAGTGCATCGCAGCCGAAGGGACGGCACCAGCATCGCCAGCCTGAGCTCGAGCGATTCTGCACATTGTGCCTTTCTGGCTGCCCTTTTCAGCCTTGTCTTTGCGCAGGTGGTACGGTTGGTGGCGAATTGGAGAAGGAAAACAAACAACCGGGCGATAGCGCGGATGGATCCCCGCAGACCGGCTGCAGGATTTTGCCCATCCACACTAAAGGAGTGGTGGGGGTCCTTCGTATTGAAGTGGTTGGGGTCTTCTGGCCTTCCAGGCACCACAATCGACAGGAACCCATGGGAGTATTCCCCCGCAACACAGGAAAGGTCACTACAACCTTGCACATGATTCAGAAAATAGAAAGACAACACGGGAGAAAAACATACTGGGACATCAACATATTGTTCCAGAAGCTTAGAAAAGGGGTTCTGATAGGGTTCTGAAAACACCGTTCTGGTAGGTCTCTCCTCAAGGCACCGTGACGCGTTGCCAATTGTCGGTGCCTAGGACTGCCTTTCACACCCTCAAGAACCTGGGCTTAAATCCCCACCTAAGTGATGTCTGGTACTGGGCTTGTCAACAAAAAACCGACACCCCTAAATGATGGAGTTCGCTTTAGTCTCCCGCTAAACAACAAGGTGTCCCCACCCACACAAAACAAGACTTGCTATGTTCTTGGGATTCTCAGGGAATGCATTGGAATGACCGCTACAAACCATCTCTGATTGCCTTGTGGGAAATCCCGGGTTTACTCCCAAAACCCCACGCTGACTAGATGGCTACAACCTCTTGGTTCTAGATGGTTGCAGTTTGTGCCGTAATGTTCCATGAGACCAGGTAGAACCTACGAAAATTGGAATCAGTTTCGGGGTTCTCTATATGGCCCCTTTGAACATAACCCAAAGTGAGGTTTAAACCGGCCGAAAAACAAAAAATGTATGTGTGTCAAAATAGTGGGACCCCAACAGTTGTGGTCTTCCTTTTGGTCTCCCTTTCAACCGACCCCCAAACAGAGGGTGCTCTAAGAAACACACAGCTATATGGGAAACTAGGGACCCTTTGCCATCATTTACGGGATCTACGTCATTGCCCACCGCTTGTGAGGCGGGTCCCGATCAGAACTTGTAGCCAGAAAAAAGACCGTGGAACCTGGACGAAATCCTGCACCAGGCAGGTGGAGTTTTTCGCATTTATCCCAAGTGCAGCTCGCGTCTTGACTTTTCGAGGGTGCCCTTTAAGGCTGGTCCAAATGAAAATCCACCACCAAACCATCCAAAATCCTGCAAAGGTCCAAGGAACCGGATGGCCAACCAAACCTCCAAACCTCCCGCAAACTGCTTGGAACCACC